CTGTAGTAGCTGGCCATGCCTAAAATGCTGCATACCACATATACAGTATTAATTCTCGGCCAACTAACAATAGCCTGAACCTTAGGGGGATCTATAAAAATACCTATCTTGCTCATCACATGTCCCTAAAAAAAATACTCAACTGGAATTCATACTTGGAGATTTTAAACATATAGCTGATGCTACCTCAATGTCTCTAGAATAATTTTTAGATGTATGGTATGATCTTCATAAATAGAATAAATCAGAATATTATCAATAAATACAATTACAAATTGATCAAGATTTTCCTTGAATATTCTATTCTTGAGATTCATGAAAACTGCAGGTGCATTAGTCATCTTAGAAAACAATCTTTGATAGTATTTAGATCTCAAATCAATCTTAGAAAACATAGAAGATTCTGAAAGTTGATCAAACAGATCGTCGATTCTTGGCAAAGGGTAATGATCTTTGTTCAGTTCCCATAATACACATGCATCATCATGTCCTTTTTCACAAACAAAAAGTGTTCCCTATAGAGATACACTAGGACAGACAAATTTCTTGTCAACTAACTCTTGAAGTTATACTTTCAACTCCTGAAGCTCTTTAGATGCTGTCCTATACAAAGCCTTAGATGTCGGAGCGGTACCAAAAAATTATCAATACAGAACTCTATCTCTGTCAGGAGGCAAACTCACTAACTACTCATGAAAGACATCAGAAAACTCATGTACTATCAGGGCATCAAAAGGAAATCCAGACTCTACGCTACTGACCCGAATTGATGCCAAAAATACCACACAACCTTTCTTTCACAACTTATATATTTGCACAACAAAAATCAAACACGATATAACTTCTATTACTCCCTAAAAAATAGTTCTTACTATCCAGAAATAGAATGATTATTTTCTTCAAACAATCAATTCGGGTCTCATACCTGCTCAATCAGTTTTGGGTTGAACCCGAACCTGACCCGAAATCCGATTTTGGCACTCCTACATACAGACCCACAAAACCTGCATAAAACACATGTTTACTTTTGCATACATACCAAACATTCGTAGACACATACAAAAGATTCGAATGCACAAATTTAGTGGATTACCTTTAATCAGATCGGGTTAGATGTAATAACCCAAACCCCAAAAGATGATTGACTCCTCGCCTAAAGCCGTGAAGATGAAATGAACGAAACAAACAAAGATGGACGAAACGAACGAAGCAGCCTAAGGAGTTTAGTTTGTCAGTCATTGCGTATATTGTGGTAATCGAAGGGAGGAAATTGAAATCAGTGCTGTTTCGATTACCTGTATTCGCGGTAGCCGACGTGTGAGAATTCCTGATCATGTGAAACGAAAGATGGACGAGCTTGACATTACATAGAATCAAAGAAGTCGAGGGGGGATTCCTCCTTATAAATTAAAGAGGGGGACGGGGTTGATCGAGAGAAAAAGAGGCAGATCGAAAGAGAGGAGAAGAGCTCGTGTGTGGGGCGATCGAGCGAGTGAGGTAGAGAAGGCCGAGTGAGAGGTAAGATTTATTTTTTGTATTAATATTATTAAGTAAATTAATATTTTATATATATATATAATGTTATTAGAATTTTGATAAAAGATAATTATAAGATTTTTTTAATAAATAGTAAAGTTGAAATTTAATATTAGAAACTACTAATAATTAAATTATGATTTTTTTATCAATATTTAAAATGATAAAGCAAGAAGAATAACTTTTATGATTTATTTAATAAATTTAATACAAGAGCTATTCAAGTTTATTTAATAACTAATTAGAGAGAGAGAGAAAAAAAGGACAATTTATGATTTTAATTATAGGAGATAATATTATGAGTTAGAGATAAATTATAAAATATAATGTAATTATATTGGTATCAAGCTGTCGGCGACATAATGGTTATAAAAGTAAATTGTTAAGGCATCCAACTTCGAGGTTAGTACTCATATTCCTAAATTACGGCAATTGCATTGCTTCTTCTAATTGCATTTAATTGTTATATCAAATGATTTATTTTTCACATATCAAATGATTGATCATTTTGAGTTAGATGATAATTAATGTGTTATATTTTACATTACTTCATAAAATCAATGAGTATTATATGAATGAAATTGCTAGATAGATATGCTTGTATGTGCATGTTGAATGATGGAGCACACTCTCTTATGGTACTGGTTGAAGACATAATGTGTCTGCGCACATAAATAGAAAAAGTTATTGGTAAAAGAAATTGAAAATGAGTATTTTCATTGGTACTATTTTAGACGGTGTTTCATATGACGATTATGTTATTTAGAAAGAATAAAGATATGACATATGTAACATATAAATATACATAACGTTGATAGTCATGTTCGAATTGAATTTTAAATAGAATTATATTATGTTTAAATTAAACATGCATATTACTCTCGATTCCTTGTATTATTGTAATTTAGAAGTATGATGTGCTCACTGAGTTCTTTTATGACTTACTCCTATATTTATAAATGAATGCAGGTATTAGTTAAAAGCTTAAAAATAAGTAGAAGAGGAGAGAATATGTATCGTAGGTGTGACGTTTTGAGAGAAAGATATTTATAACTAAATTTAAAATTTTGAGGCTTTAGTGGCTCTTTCTGCGTACTGGAAATAGTTAATTAATAATTGATTTTTTTAATCAATTCTTTCGACTGTCTCTTCCCGAATTATTAATTCGAACCTCCAGAATGGGTCGTGACATTAGAATATGTGGAATGGTATACTGATTCTAGAGGTTTTACAAGGAGTCCTCGAGTGATTACCAAGAAGGATTTTTTGTTCTTAAAGAGAACTTCCTGTTGGTATTCTTGTAGGACTGATAGTTGAAATAGCTTCTAATAGGAGTTTTTATTGGTCTAGCCCAAGGAAAACAGCTTGGGTAGATGATTTGGGCATTGTTGATTATAAATCTAGCTAGCTTAGTGCTGTAATAAAATTTAAATAAAGGCATGATTTGATATTAAATAAATAAAAAGACTTAATTTTCAAAAGAAGCTTGTGTATCTATAAGAAAATGAAATACATCTATCAATTGTCTAACCATTAATTGTACTATGCTTGTCAATTTCTTTTGTGAAATTATTTGTTTTACTTTCATTTCATAATCATTGTCTTAGTAATGTTATATGATGTATGTATAGGTTTTGATACGTTTATATCATTAAGTCGTCACATATCCATGAGGTATAATGACTTTAGTAAAGTTTGGTCTAATCAACATTGCATTTATTAATCGCCCCTTATGCAGGCCGGATCATCCCAACTTTTTAGCATTAAGACTTAAGAATTTCTTTTTATTTTCATACTGAGGCTTATTTTGCCCGTACCTCTATCTCTCCCTTCACGAATCATCATAGTCTTCCAACTTATTCCAAATCACACGATTTCATAGGCTTTCATTGATTTTTAACATCATCATCATAAGCATTTAAAATTCCTTAGCACTTACATGCATTGATTATGAATCATGTATTGAGTTGTATCAAAGTTAAATTGGTGATATATACAAAAATCCAAGTTTTGATCCATAGTTATGTCATTTCATTAAGCAATTTTATGAGTTGGATTAATTAGATTTATCTTGAAATCATTTGAATATATGATCATATAAAATGCAATGAAATTTCTAATAACATTTGGTGTTATTGGCATTCTCCGTATGCAAATATTTGAATTAGGTTGCACATAATAATTAAATGAATTCAGTAATTGCAAGGATTTACAAATGATAGGCCTATTGTATCTTATATTCGAGATTAAGTATCTCACCAAAATTATTGGGTTTTGCTTAGGACGGTTTTTTTAATCTCTCTGAAATCTCAATCTTAAGCAATCAAAATAATAATGATTTTCTCAATTTACAATAATTTCCTAAATAATAATACAAATCTATAACAAATATTCTATAAATAATATTTTTACCTCAAATAGTTTCACCTCATTTAAGCCTGGAAGTCTTCCTACTCGAATTCAAATTCAATTTGCAGAAGAAACTCCAAAAATCAAATTCGTACCAAAATTTCTCAAGTTGTCCTCCTCCTTTTCTTCTTCCCTCCTTTTTCTTTCTTTCTACTTCTCTTCTTTAGCCTGTAGCACCCTAGTCTTTTCTGTTCTGCCTCTAGCTCTATGTTTAACAATGGGATAAGGATGGATTAGGATAAGTAGCTTAGGCTATAGTTTATATAAGGGATTACATATATATATATATATATATATATATATATATATAGGTCACTGAATTTGGAGAAAATTCGAAGTTTTTAACAGTAGAATATTTATTGACACTGTAACATTATTGGAAAATTATTTTCATAATTAGATTAATTCATAAATATTAGTTTATATATATATATATACTTCTACATATCAAATGATCAAAATGATTAATAGAATTTTATAAAAATTATTATTGATTATTTTTTGGAATGTGTAAAATATGAGGTATAATTTCAGGAGAAATTTTAGTTCTGCCTTTTCGGAATTATGGTTTATTACAAGGATAAGGTGTTGATTGGGATTGAATTTCTTCGAATCACTTCAAGGAGGAATAGGACTTGTTAATATCATGTTAATTGGGTCTTAAGATCAGAAACTCAAGAAAAATTCTACTGGTTGCACCGCTTTATTAAAATCAATCTCTAAGTGTATAGTGAACCAAAGACTTGATCATTGTTCTTAATCTTCCAGTCTAGTATTGCTTTTGATTTGCATTGATCATTTTTTGACTTTATTATGTTTGACATGCATTTAGACATTTGAGCAGGTTTTTCAGATGAAGCAACGGAGTTGGTCACTACCTTTATAGTTGGTTTCTTCTTTATTGCTCGAGTCCTTTGTTTATGTATTATTTCTGGATTTCACCTTTTATTACATAGCACATAACATGTTTTAAACTTGTGTACCTTTGATTCAGAAGTTTTGATGCTGTTTGTGGAGATGCATATTATCTCTCTCATCCACCCCATTTTATGCAGCTGCGGTGATGATGGTTGCATCAGGGGCTGGAAATGGGCAGAAGTCCATATGGCTGCAGTTCAAGCGTCAAATAAAGGTGACTTAAACAATAAGAAAGAACGTACTATTGTACCTAGCATTTATAACAATTGAAATTATAACTATAGACTACAATTCACCTAATTGTATGTTTTTGTACTGTTATTTACCTACTAAACTGTGCCTACAACACAATTTTAAATTGTATTCCTTTCTGTAGTATAATCTTCATAGTATTTTCTGTCTCCAGGGTATTGTGCTTTTGGTTCAACTAAGCCTTCTGCTATGCTCAAAACTAGTTTAACAGTTTCATACTCTCAAACCATCAGCATCAGTGCCACACATCTATCATTCAACTTAGATATTACTGATTTTTTTTATCCTAGCATTCAAATTTAATAACATCATTGGCTTAATTATGGTTTTATAAGATTTAACTTTAAGCTTTTATGATAATCACGTATCATAGAAAGCTCCTAAGGCATTTCAAATATTCTTCCTTAACTTTAAAAGTTACATTCTTATACATATTGTTAATAAAGGGAAATGTCTAGAAAGCTAGAGTTGTTTATTCATTCAATGAGTACTTATACACAAAACTACGTAGATAATAATTAAAAGTAAGTAAATACAATACTTAAAAAGTACAAAAAAAAAAAAACTCTAACTGTCTGCCACTTTGGGGCTTTCTTGATTGTGACAATTATCGCCATGTAAGAAATTCCAGACCTTTCTTTTTTGCACATGAATTTGTGGGAGAGGTGTTTTCTTATTTGGACAATCTGTGACCTCTTCTTCCTTCCCAAGCTTTTCCATTGGCCCTACTAGGTCTTTGAACCCCATTAGGCCCTTCGGCCTTTTAACACTCCCCACAAATTGGATGGTATATATCTACTATCTCTAGCTTACTTATAATATTTTTGAATTTGGAGTTGCAGAGTCCTTTAGTGAATATATCAGCAAGTTGGCTTTCAGTTTATAATTTCTCTTTTATGAAATATCTGTACCATTTCACAAAATTGGTTTGATCATATCATACTGTACAGGGTTGAGTAATATTGATGGTAAATTTGTTGTTGTAAAATATTTTCATAAGCTATTCCCTCCTATTTTCATATCTCTTAAAATAATTTTAACTCACAGAAGCTCAAACATACCTTGAGCAATTGCTCTAAATTTATATTTAATGCTATACCTTGAAACAACAAGTTGTTTCTTTTTTCTCTATGTTATAAGGTTTCCTTCCAAAAGTATGTAATATTCTAAAATGTATCTCCTATCAACTGGTGATCCCGTATTGCCAGCTTTAGTATAAACTTCAATTTATAGAACATTATTTTTTTTTGTAGAAGATGCATTTCTTAGGGTTTGATTTAAGGTATCCGAGTACTCTGTAAGTAGCTTGAAGATGAGAATCTTTGGGTTTATGCAGAATTGACTTATGAGACTTACGACAAAGGATCTGCCAGGATAGCTATGTGATACATATATTAATTTCCCAACTAATCTATGATTTTTCCTATGGCCACTTCAGCTCCTTCATTTGTGTTTAGTTTTTTACCTGGCTCAATTGGAGTTTTGCAAGGTTTATAATTAGTCATTTTTATTTGTCTAAGTAGGCTCATGACATATTTTATTGAGAGAGAGTTTTCTTGTTATGAATGAGCAACTTTTATACCTAGAAAGTATTTGAGTTTTCCTCGCTTTTTAATTTCAAATTCTTTATCATTAAGTTTTTTTCTAAGCGACTCATTTTCTTTATTATCATCATATATAACAATTATATAATCAATATAGATAATGAGAATTGAATGATTTCTTTTAGTGGTGTGCTTTATGTAGAGTGTATAGTGTCATTGGCTTTATTTGTATCCTACTTTAGTTATATCTTTTGTAAATCCGCCTAGCTGTCTCTTGGGGATTGTTGAACACCATATGGAGCCTTTCTTTAATCTGCACACCTTTTCTGTGAAAGAGCCATCGAATCCTAGTGGAGGGTCCATATTGACTTTTATTTCAAAATTTTTGTGCATTTCTTACATCATTGTTGTGTGGACAATCTAAGGTTAGCAACTAGAGAAATTAGATTGTGAATTATATTCAGTTTATAATAGGAGCAATTATTTTCTGATAGTTAATTTTACGAGATAAGTATATTATTTGACTAGTCATTCTTTCTATTATTTCAGTATTCCATCTACTCTATATTTTTAGAAAAAAATTCATTTTCATCACAACAACAACAACAACATCAAGCCTTTATCCGACTACGTGGGGTCGGCTACATGAATCTTTTTTCTCCATTGCATCATATTAAAAGTCAAATTCTCGTTTAAATCTAATAAAGAAAGGTCATTCCTAATATTTTCTAACCAAGTCTTTTTAGGTCTACCCCTACCTTTCTTAACATAAGTCAAATCTAATACCTCTACTCTCCTAACCGGGTCATCGGAAGGCCGCCGTTTTATGTGACCAAACCATCTAAGACGACTTTCTCTAAATCTTATCTTCTACTGGAGCTACTCCAACATTTTCACGTATATGCTCATTTCGTATCATATCTCTAAGGGTAAAGCACTCATCAACCTGAGCATCCTCATCTCTGCCACACTTAACTTAGTATTATGCTTCTCTTTTAATCGCCAACATTCGGCACCATAAAGCATTGCAGGTCTCACTACCATCTTATATAATTT